GGAAGTTATCACCCTCTCTCCAGGCATCTCTGGAGAAGGATTTGTCAATTTTTTAAGTCTGAGGACTGGAGGAAGGAAATAGTGCTCCAACAAGATTTCACAGGAGAAACCAACACTAACTGCACAATGACTGTATCCTACTGAAAGACCCCACCTCATCTGTGCTCCAGGAGATGGGCTCCTCATCACCATTGGAGGTCAAGCAGATCACTCTCCCATCAGCTTTAGATTAACAAGGACTTTTCTAGTGTTTTCCTCCACAGTGTCACCACCTCTGTTTAAACGACTCGCCACACCTCATATCACTGCATCAGCACCACTCTAAACCAACTATTTTCATCAGCAAAGCCAGTAGCAAATCTGTTGCTGCCAGGATCACTCAACTCACCTCAAACCTCCACCATGCAGAAGTTCAGACTCCTGCATCCCTGCAAGAGGGTCTAAGTCCCTGAACTTGTACAGCAAGAACCTCATTTGATGATTTCCACCTCAGGAGTCTTCACTTTGCAACATAACATAACAGCAACAAGCTTAGGGCAGAAGCAAACCCCAGAAAGAAGGGAAGATAAAGATCTTGCTCGTATACAGTGCTCTCACACGTAGATCAGAGCGTACTGGGCTACACCATTTCTTACACTATATACCAAAACCATGACAATACTTTTTTTCCATCTTTAGAAGCTTTATTTACAGCAAAATCCATAAATAGAAGAGGACCTGAAAGCTGTTTCCCACCAGTGGAACATCTCAAAGTATGGAAAAAGAGATGCTGGGATTTGGGAGAAGAGGAAGGAGCACAAGTTCTTACAGTTACTACATCCACATTCAACCCCAACACCTGATAATAAATCAGTGAAGTAAAAAGCAATTCTATAGCTAGCCATATAGAAACACACTCCTGGAAGATGTAAGGCAACAACTACTCTTAATAGACATACGTTCCTGTCAAATGGCACTTCACGTTACTTGCTTTGTGCATGTGCTAAAAATTCATGTCTCTAGCAGCTGGCCGGCTCAACTGGAGGAGAGATCATTCCCCTCAAGAAGTCGAGAGTACCTATGACCCCTTCAAGTAGGGCTGGTGACAATGACAGTCCCCTCACCCTTCAAGTACTGTGCCACCTCTCAATGCTTCTTGACACCCCTCAGTTCTGAGCAGGAAGTTTTTATTCCAGCACACAACCTTCCCTAGCGGGAATTAGTCCCAGGCAATACAGGACCTGCCACTCAGGGGATTTATGTATGCTGGAGAGCAACACCAAATCCAAGCTCCTTTGCAACTTAACGCAACTTCCACATGTCCTGAGGAGAGGGACTAACAAGAAACACCCAGGTAACTGTTCTACAGTCTTTTCAAGGGTATTTTTCTCAGCTCCCTTGCAAGGGTGAGGGAGGAAATTGGTGCATGACTCCTCTTCCCCACAGAAAGGAAAAAAAAAAAAAAAAGGTGTTCAAGCCAAAAATCTCCACAGCAGCATGGCCAGCTCTACAGAGCTGTAAAATACCTCAACCCAAACCAGAACAAAAACACAAAACCAAGAAAACCAAAGGTACTACCAGCACTAAAAAAATCCAAACCAAAACCACCTCCCACAAGAAAACCCAAACACACTTCATTTTCCCTAAAATCCAGCATCTTAAATGCTTATGATTAAATGAGCATTTCTGGACAACAGAGTCTATGATGGAGGAGAAGGAAAACAGAAGTTTTGAGTTCAGGAACTAGAATACAAACTCACCTTATTAAAAACTATCATGGAAATTGGCAATGGTATTTTAAGTATGGTTAGAGCAGCCCTGTCAAGACACTGCATTTATAAGGGCACATACCTGCTCACACTTGACTTGCAAATAAGGAAATAGAACTTATAAAAGGAAAAAAAGGAATTTATGCAACAGCTCTTCACCTTACCTAGAAGGTGACGTTATACTCCTTGCTGTACACCAGAGAAACATCATTCCCTTACTAGATATTTAAAAGAAAAAAAAAAAAAGCAGCCATGAAGCCTTAGTATCAGTCCAGCTCTGCTGACCCCCAAATTACTACCCTTGAATTGGGAACGGTTGAAAAAGCAACACAACTTCCTGTACCAACAAGTTCATGGCTAATAACTCCCTTCCTTCCTTCCTTCAACACACATTCATATCCATTTTGGAAGAGGAGTCTGGTCCATCCTTTCTCCAATTTCATCTCCACCAGACACCATCTACCAAATGTCTTGCTAGTCCTGGGTCACCAGCCTTTTAGTCAAGCACTGTTCTGGGCTTAATGCAAGGAAGAGCTGCAAGTATCCATACAGCATATAAAACAGAATGTGTGCCGAGACGATCACATGGACAAAGCGGACACGTTAATGGTTCCTGTGCAGAATCTCGTCGCAGGAAGAGTCCATCAACAACAAAAATCTCAGGAGAAACTAATAGAGCCCCACACAGTCGAACAGAGAGAAACACCAGGTTGCTTCCCAGCTGTAGGGGATGCAGGAGTCTGCAGCAGACAGTAGATAAAAGTAGGCTAAATGAGGCAGAAACTGCCCCCACCCCAAGCAACCTGAACACTGATGTATTTTAATGTTCTAACACCAATGTTCCCCAGCAAGAAGTCTGGTGGAGGAAGCACCATAAAGAGAAAAAAATAATTCCAGTTGCAAACCTTTTCCTTATAGGCTTAGTCAGTAGGTCAACCACACAAGCTACTGTTAAGGCAGCAGGGAATAAGCGCTCTCCTGAGCAGCCGAAGCTTATTTTCTAGTGGTAACAGACCACAAGTAGAGTTTTCCTTCAGTGCATCCTAAACTGTAGCAAAGACACATCAAGAACTGAAGAAGGCAGCAGCTTCAGGAATTGCCGCAGTATATAGCAAAGAACTACAGCTGTTCTGGAAAGCTTGCTTATTTTCAGGTTCGGGAAAGGCACCCTTCTAAAAGACAAATGTTAAAGGTCAAAAAATGTCTGTCTCTAACAGACTTTGCATCTTCACCAGCACCTCCAGCAGATAGTTTGCTCTGGGTTGCTTCCCAGTGCCACCAGCCTGCACTGCCACAGGAGAGAGTGCCTCCAGCCTGCAGCCGCAGTGGACACCCCCAGCAGTGACAGCGGGGATTGTGCAGGGGCTGACTGGGTGAAGAAAACATTGTTGGTTTTGCTGAGGGGTGTTGGCATCAGAGGGTGTGCACATTCTCCCAAGTAACCAGGGTGCATGATTAATTTGCAGCCACCATGTCTGTCCAGAAACAGTACATGCAATTCCTTCACGCAGACAGCAAGTACAGCACTAAATGGCAACACAGGTAAGAGAAGAGCAAAAGCAGGCAAACACCAAGTGATGTTTTAGAAAGCAGGATATTTAGAGTCACTTTACGCAGATTCAATGCCTGGTTTCCCTGTCCAGCAATCAATTCAGAAGTCACTTCCTTTCCCCACAACATGAAAGGCCAGTCTACCCCCATTACATGCCTGCAGTTCAGCTGTGTGAATTCCCTTCCTTGCCCCTGCCAGGGGAAAAGCATTTTAGGTCAGCCAGCCTGAACGGTACAGCTCACAGCAGCTGAGACACCCTTCTGCACAGGCATTTCTACCTTTTCAGGCTCTCAGCCATCCACCTCTAATGAGCCACGCAAATCCAGCACCCCAGTCACAATGTTGCTGGTTTTAAATACCAAAATTGATCTCTGATTGAAAGGGTAAGAGCTTTTTGGAAGCCTCATGTATGTTAAGAGTTCTTCATTCCCTGATGCACAGTGCCATTATTTTACACCTTTAAGTGAGGACGCTGATGGGAACAGGGAGTTGTAACTACAATTCTCTGCAACACCTTCAAGACACATTATTGCATCCTATCTGTCCCAAGTGACATGGCATTTAATTCAGAAAGTATAAACAAGTTTTTCCATGCTTCAGATTTGAAAGGATACCATCAATAAAGGTTAAGAGACAGACTGCCTCTACCTATTACTATGAGTAAAGACAACAATCCCTTTAAAAAGTGTGTCTGTTTTTTACACTCTTCAATGCAGAAGTCACCATCAAAAACAGTACTTCCATGACAAAGTAGCTCCAGTTTAGATGAACAGGACAAAAAAAAACCCTCAAAAAAACAAAAAAACATGCAGTGACATATGGCTTTACCAGATACAGTAATTAAAAATCCAAGTTTAAAAAACATAAAACACAAACATGAAGTCATCATCAAGTTTTCTGTTTTATTTAAGATTTTAGTTTTAATTCTGAAGAAAGAGGTACATTTCCTTGGTTTTAGTTTTAGCGTCAGGTTATAACCATGTTTATTTGTTTCTTTTTTCCTGTCTTTTCAATACTGCACAAACGTCCAGAAACTACAGGGTTAAGTAAAAGCTGCAGGCAGAGGAGGTCAGAGGTTGCTCCTGATGGTGATCATGTGGCCCCAATGCAGTGCTATCCCAGAGTGCCCTACTCAGGTGAATCTTTGTTTTTTAAAAAAAAAAAAAAAGAAAGAGAGACTGACAGAGGAGACAGAAAGACTGAAGTAAATATCACTCCTGTTTCAGCTGCTTATAATTATATTATGTATACACTAGGTATTAAATCTGTGAATACTTTTAAAACATTAAAGTTCACTTTTAATCTAAAGCCAAAATTAAAGAAAAAATCTTATTCTCCCCTCTTTAAACCACTCTTTAGCAACATGCCAGTTACTCACAGCTGTAAGTGTCTTGTCTTTCAACACACTTCATTCAAAACTTACTGACACAATAAAATCCCCCTAAAGAAAAAATAGCAATTTTCCTGTGTAGTGCCACACTGAATGCAAAATAAATGCTAGGCCACTGCTTGCCCCACATGTTCAGTAAATTCATTTAAATTAAATACCTTTTTCATGCTTCTGCATTTGATTTCGCATTGCATTTTTCCCCTACTGCAGACTGACACTTTTCCACTAGGCAGAAATACTCATGTGCAAAAGACATAAGACAGTAATGTTCTCCTTAAGCATTGAGACTGCATCTTGTTTTCTCTCTCTCTTTTTTTTTTCCTTAGTATGGTTAGAAAATATTTCAGTCAGTGTATTTCAAACACTGGCTCAGCAGAAACTTAACAAAAAGATATGGTCATGACCCTGTGATGGCATTGCATTTGGGGGGGGGAGGTTTGATCAGGAACTGGATTCTTCAGAAAGAAAGATATGACAGGGAACAGTAGGTGGGTGTGGGGAGGAGTCAGGGTGGGACACTTCCTGCATTTCTAATGTTTTGGGTTTTATTTTTCTTCCCCCCCCCCCCCTTTCCTAATGACGATCCAGCGCTGAGCTCTGTAGTAGATCTGTGGGGGTTTTACTGGGGGGTCTGAAGGCGGTCTGAAAGCCTGGGGGTGGGGAATGGAAGCTGGTAGGGTTTGAAGGAGGAGAGTAGGGATTCCAACTGGCTCTGTGCAGAGGGATCTGTGTGCTGAAGGGGTTACTGTGGTGCGTCTGTGATGGTGCTGCACTGGGGCCGTCCACCTCTGTTAGGGCTTGAAGAGATTTTAGCCAATGTGGAGGATTGTCATCTTGAAGGGTGTCTAAACTGTTTCCTGTGGAGGCTGGGATACCTATAAAGAGAGAAAAAAAAACAGGGATACAGGCAAGTCAGAGCAGGAGCAATAAGCTGAGCATGAAGGAGGTCAATTTAACCTAACAAAAAGCAACAGTGAGAAAACATGATTAGTTTGTACAGAGAATGCATTTTACATTATTATGTACAATTACGCTGCCCGCAAAACATTCAACATTAAATCCAGATAGGAGAAAGTTCCCCCTCAGAGCACTTCTTCATAAAACACACATTTTTCTATCAAACATCCCGCACACAGACTGCATCCCTGTTGACGTGACTTTACCACACCAAACTACCAGTACACTGCATGCTTCACCTCCTACTCTGCCTACTTAATCATGCTTCAGCCTCTCTAACAGGGAAACACAACCAGATAGCCTTATAAAAGAGAGCTTTATAAACAAGTGGAGTATGTCCCTTTTTAAATAACAAAGTCCAGTGAATGCCTTCAGTGCCTCAGGACCATGGTGCACATACCGGACATGCCATCCAGCAGAAGGGACACCTACATTGACCCTACAGATAAGTGCTGATCCACCTGACTGCCTGCAAAGGTCCCAGGCATGCATTGCAAAGGCCTAAGTGACATTTTGTTTTACCTAGCAGCTCCACAAAAATTCCTGGACCCTTGAGGTTTTGTGGATGGAAGCTGGAAGAGACCACCGCATACTGACTTTTTCTTTTTTCCAGATGTAAATCAGTTTGTGCCAAATACCCATTTGATGGTTTGCCAGTGGAGCTGAAGGAGTGAGAAACGGTTACCTGTGATGATTGCGGGGTCCATCCAGCTGCCAGGGCTGTCCCAATTCAGGCTGTCGGTGGTGGCAGTGTTGGACGTTGGTACACTGTGGTTGGCGTTGGAGGGGGAAGAAGCATTGGGCAGTCCACCAAAGTTGATGTTAATGTTCGGTAGAAGTGCCCTTAGCCCGTCCTGCCATTCCTTCATATTTAAACTCTCTACAGAACTGCTGTTGTCTGGGAGATTTACCAACAAAAAAAATGAAAGATAAAAAATAAAAAGCTGAAGTTAGAAACAGATGTCCTTCTTTGATGGGGTATGGGATTTTGTTTTTACTTTTTAAGCTAAGCATTTAATACTTTCCCTGTCCAAAAACTAGGGTCAATGTTTGTATATTACGCAGAAGGGCTGGCAGGTTTTAAACCAAGTGTAAGGGAGTGGGAGGAAGATTTAACTCCTCCCCCAATTCGTATTTCCGAATTTTTTTCAATTCAGAGACTCAAATTATCAAGGGCACAGTGGCTCTCCCTCTTTTACTAATAGGGGAAAACCTACCAGATAGTTTACGAGAACAGCCCTGTTGCAAGCTAGATAACCCAGTTCAGCTGCTTTATTAATGGGCAGCAGGCTCAAAAGGGTTTTCAAGTATATTAAAATGAAGAAAGGCTAGGTAGGGCTTTGCAATAGAAACTGAACATGAGGAACCAAAGAGGCAGAGGAATATCACTGTTATCAGAAGTTTTGTTTCGTTATAGCTCGTTCATTCACAGCCCTATAGATGTTCTTCCGAAGGAAATGGTAATTAGGTTCTCATGAAGTTGGAGGGAGTGCAATTTCCTCTTGCAGTTGAAGAACAGTAGTGAAAATTCTTTAGAGACCCTTCAGAATAATTCCCGACACAGCAACATCCTTAAAACTTTGGTTAGAAGCAAACCAGCTGGACACCAAAACAGTCAAGTCTCAACTATTTTCCTAAATGTTTCAGGACACATTGAAAAAGGACAACACGATAATGTCGCTACAAGCACTATAGCAAATGATCCCTGAAGACAAGTGTTAAACCATGCTATCTAGAAGGGATTATCAGGTTCTACAATCTATCTCCTACTTTAGGTATCTCAAAGCAAAACAAACCAAACATGAGCATCCTCGTATTTATCAGCCAATACATAAAGTCATACTTAACTAACTTGTGGTCAAATATATTTTAAAATAAAGTGTTTGGTAGTATGTTGGCAGTATGCTCTTTTTGACAAAAACCTAAAATATTAAAAAAAAACCCAAAAAACAAACTCTGCCTGTCCTAACTGAAGAAAGGACCTTGTTGTCAACTTGTGTTACAGTGAGATCCTTATATAACACTACTACTTCATCAACCATGGAAAAGATTTAAGTCTTGAGAGAAAATTAGAGGGTATTACTAAATGGCAACTCTATGTTGGAGAGCAAAGAAAGCAGTCTCACTTTCTATCAAAACTTGCCTTGGCAATTTTTGTAAAGCAGAATGCTCAGAAAGAACTGATGTCTCAGGCAATTACCTTTTTCTAAGTAGAGGGCAGAAAAAAAAAAGCTAAGTTCCTGAAATCCTGTGCTTTCATGCAGAACTTCCTTCCCCAGGCCAGAGCTTTTTTAGAATAAACTTCATATAAGATTCTGCTTCTCTACAGAACTACAGCAAGCAACTTCAGTCACAAATCACAGCAAGTCATACCTCAGTCCATGTGACCAACTGAATTTCAAAACTAATTACTATGCATATCTGCTACATCCACTTTGCCCATGACACTGGCCAAACTCAGGTGCAAAAGGAGGG